CAGGTCCAGGGCTGTAGCCTGAATGTTGGTGGTATCTCAAGTGTGTCTGACAGTGCTGTTGGTTGGGCCAAATCTTTTTTTGGGTTGAGGTTTGAGGTTTTATTCTGCACTTGTACAAGGGTCCAGGTGAGAAATACAGCAGCTCTGTGTGGTTTTACTTTCCTGTCGGCTGATTCCAGGAAAGAGCCTCCCCTTAGGACACAGGTGGGCGACCAACACGGTCACTGTCCACTCACGTCCCTCTGCACTCATGTTGTGACGTGTATGTGCATACTTATTTTTGGTTGCATTTGTGAGTGTGCATGTTTCACACAAGCAGACATGCACTTTATGTGTCAAAAATGTTATACAGCAGAGTGTTTTTTTGTAATTAGCAATGAAATGTTCAAAATTGGTTTTGGTTCTTAAATAGCTTTTAAACATTGGCCATGGCAGCTCATAATTATAACAAAATATCCTGTATCTGAAGTGCAATTTATGATCCATTCAATATCTACGTCTATCACACGGCATAAAGATTCACATAGATCATATAGATAATATGAAACAAATGCCTTTACAGTAGTACAAGTGGAATTAAATTACATCAGAATTGCAGTGTATTTTTCCAGTGCACCTGTCCAATCAGTAAATACGTTTCTGAATTAAAATTTCATCTCAAAACTCTTAGTTTGAGATGACAGGAAAGAGACCAGAAACAGAGACAGTGTGGCTGGGTCATGTAGCCAATGTCTGGCCTTTTCTTTCCAAGATTCACTTTTACAATCACAACCGTCAATGTCAGCAGAAACTGTGTTGTTTGGAGACTTGAACAGACGAAGCCAGCAACCATTTGATTGTCAGTGTTATTTTGCAGCAGTTATGTGGACAATGACCATCTTACTACTTAAGCAATTAACTAAAACTAAAACCATAAAACTATATAGATGTATTAAAAAAACCTTCCTTGCTTAATAAAAGTATTTATTTCTTTTTTGAAGAAATTAATGCTTTTATTCAGAAAAGATATATCAAAAGTGACAGAAAAGACTTCTTTATAGTTCTTTTGAACTTTCTGATTATCAAAGAATCCTGAAAAATACAAAAAATGTATCACAGTTTCCTCAAAAATATTAAGCAGCACTGTTTTCAACATTTCCAGAATCGGAATAAATTAATTTATAAATTAATAATTTAGTAATATAAATTAATCTAATTAATGTATATATAAAATAAACAACTAAATTAACTACTTTGTGTTTTACTCTTATGTTTGAAAAACAAATAGCATTTGTGTGTGGTGCAGTACGTGTCAGAGCTGGCCAGAGAGGGTTTATTCTGATGGAGAAAGGTGTAGCCTAATTGTAGGTTGTAGGAGTTTGTGGGAGGAGACAGAGGGCCAGAACGACCCTAATGGACTGACACCCCTCTGTCTTTGTGTTTGTGGCAGGTGGCGTGGGCTGAGAACTTCAGGCCTGTGGGGCTTCTGCCTTCCTTTGTGCTTGTGAATTAACAAAAGAGGGCTTTTGTCGGTTAATTTGGATATGTGCGAGTGGGAGTGTCTGGAGTGCGTGTGCGTGAAACAATGCTGGAAACGTTTAGTTTCTCCCTGTCTCTGATTACACAGAGAAACATGCTCTATCTCTCCGACTGCTTTGCCTAGGCGTGATCAACACCTGCACTGGGCCGCACCTGTTTTGTGTCTAACCTGCACACACACTTTTTGGTATGTTTGTGTCTGCATAATGTCACCTAGACTGAAAAACTTTAAAGTGAACACAGGGGCTGACAGATGGATGGGTAGATGGATAGATATACCTACAGTACACTGAAAAAAAGCTTTGAAACAATTTTCACTCAGAAATTGCAGTAAATATCACAAATAATTGCAAAGAATTGGCAACTAATGTATTGAATTATACATGAAATTTCTTAAGTAGAAATTCTGAAACAGTATTTTCTTGTAAAATAATTTTTACAGTGTACATATATTGAGATAAAATAGAGTGAGAAGCTTATGTGTCAGTTTTGTAAGCCATCAGGAGTGCAGCTATATGCCTCCCACTTAAATGTTAACCTTCACTCCCTCCCTCTTTTACTGGTAGTTGCTCTGCTGTGTATCTGTTTGTGTGTGTGTGTGTCCTTGGGGCCTGTTAGTATCTCTTTATTGAAAGAACAGCTGCCTTTTGCTCTTACTCATACACACAGATATGACTCAGTCTCTCTGAGTGCATGGAGAGTTGTATGTCATGTCTTTGTTGAGGAGGAGGATCCCGCTTTCAGGGCCATGAGTCAGGCAAGTGTATGACAACCAGGATGGACGGCACAGGGGCTCTTACACTGACGATCCTTTGCTCTACTGGGGATCTTTGCACTGCCGTGGTTAGCACATATGCTTGTGATATACTGTATTGTGCCGTCATGGGGACACAGACTTCAGTCTGGTCTAAATGCAACATGGAAGCCCCACAGGATAAAAGTATATTTTTATAAGGTTTATTTAATTCCAATATAATTGAAAACAATATTTTAATATTAATTGATATGATATATAATATCATATTTCAAATATTTTATTTGTTAGTAATTTTATTTTATACAAAAATCTATAATAAATAAATAAATAAATAGTAATATATAAACTCACCAAGGCTGTATTTAATCAAAAATACAGTAAAAACTGAAATATTGTGAAATATTATTTTCATTTAAAATAACTGTTTTCTATTTTAATACATTGTAAAATGTAATTTTATTCTTGTGATGGCAAATCTGAATTTTCAGCAGCCATTACTCCAGTTTTCAATGTCACATGATCCTTCAGAAATCATTATAAGGCTATACATGGCACAACGTTTGTCCAGATTTTTGCCCTGATTTACAGTCTGGAAGAGTTGATGGCAGTTGGCAAAATTCAGAGCCAGTCTGCAGGTTTTGGGCATTTAGAGTTGACCAATTTAAAAGAAAATCAGCTCAGATATGCATGGTTTTATAATGTTATACTAAGGCTAAAATTAAAACAATGGAAAAACCCTTAATGAAACCTGAAGAAAAAAAAACATCTCAAGCACTCAGAATAACATAAATGGACTTTGAACGATTAATTGCTGCTTTGAACGATTACGTAATTGTGGCATCTCTAATTCTAATCACGATTAAAAATTTGATTAATTGTGCAGCCCTACTTCAGGTTATGATTCCATCCAGCTATTAAACGTGTTTGATATTTTAAGCCAATTTTCACATTGTTAGAAACAGTTCTCTTAGAAACAGGGTGCATGTTTTTGAGTTTGTTTCATTCGGAACAACTTGAAAGTCTGGTAGTGTGTGATTCTCAGTTGTGTTTAGTATATGATTATTATTAATGTTGAAAACTGCTTAATATTTTTGTGAAAACTGTAATACAGAACAGCATTTATAAATGTCTTTATTGTCTCTTTTGATGCATTTAAACAGCTTACTAACCCCAAAAACAATATATAAATCATATATTTATCTATATATCTTGGTGCTATTCATTTCAGTTATTGATCATGTATACATTTAAAATTTAGTTTTTGATAAAACATCTTGAAAATACCTCCAGAAGGTTTTTTTTCTTCTGATGCTGGTGTACACCTTACACCTTAATTATGTTAACCAACGACTACCTTGGCCAACCATCATCACCCAGAAAGACCATACTGGTCAACCAACTGGTTAACAGCATCGCTACAGCTGGTCCACCTAGACAGGTAGCAACCACAACCAGAATAAACAAGCCTGGACCAACATAGACATTCGTGCTGATTTTTTTAGCAGGTAAGGCAGGAATTTGTAGCTTGTTATCATTTTGGTCATGTTTGGGCCATCTGACGTGGAACTGGGCAATGGAATGTTCTGTCACTTCCTCTTCCTCAGTAGCTTAGTCATAGGACTGGCAGAGAGGCAGATGCTGTGTAAACAAGAGCGTTTTAGGCAGTTTGAGTGCTTAAATAGACATGGGCAATGTGTCCTACTGTCACAGGATAAGCTAAGAGGGATGGAAGAATACATTCAGAACATTAGTTAGATATGATATGGGCAGTGGGTCACAGTGTCAACCTGTTTCTGTTGTAGTATCACGGTGTGACTCAAACCAATCTGTATTTGAGTCACAGAGCTGATACAGCACTTACTGTGACATGTGAAATGAAGCTCTCATGAGCCGAATTTCTCTTTCTCTTTTTCTGAACATAAAGAGGGAAAATCCAGTAAAGGCCCTTTGAGGGCACTGACTCACATATAGAAAGAAGCATACAGACACACACACACACACACACGCAGTTTCGTCAGACACATTATGTTCGTATGTGTGAATAATCCAGTGATCAGCAACTGCTGCATAATTAGCACTCATGTGGGATCACACACAAACACACACTCTCTTACTCACAAAAAGCTCCACTCAATGAGGTGTGGGGACACAATGCCCCTCTGTCAGCATTCGTGTAAGTGTGTGTGTGTGTGTGTGTGGGTTCTGCCCTCCTCTTACAGGACCGGCCTCCTTCTCTCTTGGCTTCAGTCGCTTCTCTGCTGGTTTTCTTTTCCCTCGCATGCGGCAAATCTGCTGATGGCCTGGCTCGAGTCTGAACGTGGGGCAGCCTGCCAGTGCGCCAGTCACACACCTCACTGTTGCCACATGGACCAGCACTGGGTCTCTGGGCAGCAGTTATTCAATTCAGTTCAGTTAAACAGTTCTTGTTATTTTAATTAATCAGAACTTTCAGTTTCAGATCCATTTTAATTCAGTTAATTTCCAATCAGTTTTAGTTGTAGGAGTCACAACTGAATCTGCAGTATGTCTTTAGAATTGAGGTGAGATCATTTTAATATTTCGATTGTTTCTATAGACAGCAAGAAGATTAAGTCAAAAGTACCTAATTTTAAGTCGCTTTCATTTCAGTGTTTTCAGTAAAATTTGCGTATGAATTCAAATATTTAATCATCAAATTCTTACAAGACCAAATTATTGGAGTTCAAGTTTAAATTGTTTTTGAAAGAAGTCTCCTATGTTCAAAATATAGAAAAAAATAGATTTTTTTTGTAACATTAGAAATATCTTTAATTACACTTAAGATCAATTTAATGTGTCCTTGATAAATAAAAGTATTCTTTAAAAAAAAAAAGAAAGATTAATCATATTGACCTCAAACGGTATCGGCCAGACTATGAACTTTAAACATTGTCAACCATGAGGCTTTCTCTTAAAGAATTAGGAAAATAATATCTCAGACAAAGTTAATAATTAAAATTAAGATGGAGTTCTATTATGTGTCCTATGATAGTGTTTTATGTGCCAATGTTAAAAAAACATAAAAACTTTCTAGAATAAAGTTTATATTTATATCTGTAACAGTTTGTAGTTACGGGAAGAAGGAGGCGGGAACCGGCGGACATTTAAACTTTAATAAATAAATAAACAAACACTAAACAGTAAAGAAATTAAAAGCGGCAGCCCCTCACAGACGACTGCCGCATAAAACATAGTAAAACAACACACATAAATAATCCAGGCCTGGTCCTCTCTTGTCTTGCACTGTCATCACTCCTCCTTTTATCCTTCCGGAGCTTCTCCGTGGAACTCGAGACCAGTGTGTGGCACATTATCTTTCACTCCACCGGCCTCACTCCGCTCCCACGGCTCTCGGCCCCGCCCCACTGCATTTATTTATACATTTAAAACGTCTTTATTTTAAAGGGGTCATATGATGCGATTTAAATTTTTCCTTTCTCTTTGGAGTGTTACAAGCTCTTGGTGCATAAAGAAGATCTGTAAAGTTGCAAAGACTAAAGTCTCAAATCCAAAGAGAGATTCTTTATAAAAGTTAAGAGTCAGCCACACCTACCTAAAACGGCTCGTTCTAACACGCCCCCACATACCTACGTCACTATGTGGGAAGATTTGAAATTCCCGATCAGGGTTTTTCTCTTCAAAGTCCTTTAAACTCTCCTTTGAATTAGTGCTTTCCAGTAAAGGCCTTGTTTAGGCCTGCCAGCAATGTGTGCTTCAATAGTCCCAGTATATCCAGTGGGGTGCTGTGTGTGGCCTACACTTCTAATGAAGGCCTCTTTTCCTCTCTCTCTCTAACCCTTTCACTATCTTTTTTTCTGAAGAGAAGAAGGTACTTGGCTGCCACCATTGGCTGCTGTGCAAGTAACATTCTACTAGTTTCGTCTCATTTCCTGCGTAGATGTGCGGACAATGAAGTAGCCTGAATCAGTAGCACTGTGTGACTTTTCTATAATAATATTTAAATTAAATGCTAGGAGTTAGTGAGCTTGTTTATTCACTTTAACAATTCTCATATTAGCTCACTTCGTTATGTTTGGGTGTTTCATATTATTCGTATGCGTACAGGGGGCTGCCGATGCATTCGTTTTTGAGTGTCATACATACCCCAGAGTGTGGGGGATGTGGGAGCTGACGTTTCGTTCTGAGGAGGAAGTCTGTGGTCAAGTAGTTTTCTACGCTCCCCTCCACTTTTTGTTCCTTCTCCATGTAGCTGCGCTTAAAAAAACATCTGGCTGTCTCTACAGATGTGGAAATCATTTTAGAGGAGCGTGTGTGTGTGTGTGTGGGAGGCAGGGCTTCGTTTGAGAAGCGTGGGATTCAGGTTCATAAGATCAGGTTCAGGTTCATGCGTCGAAGCCTCCCCTTGCTCTAAAGCACCCTGGGAAAGCCTTGGGTTTGGCCTGCTCATAAATGAAACCCCTGTGCTAGTCAGGGCTAGAAATAGCCCAGCAAAACGGCAAGAACGTGGGACCGCCCATGTATCCTGCAGAAAAACAAACTCGCCCCACTCCACATCTGACAACGCCTTTCAGCTCCTGTTTTCATTTTCTTATTTATTCTGGATTATT